TTCCTGCAGACTTCCAAGTCTGAGGTTGTTTACTAGATGTGTCTCTGGAGGGGGTTAAGCAGCTACCTTTCCCGCTGAGACCCGGAGTCCCTAATAACCGCCCCACCCTTTCTAATAGGACGGACACAGGAATATGTCACACAAGCTTAATTATAAAGGCTGGCTCGATACCAGGGAGCCTGGAAACCTGAAATCCCAAAACCACCAAGAGTCACCTGCTGTGAAATTATTATTCGTATTCTTTTCCCCTTGGGTTTTATCGTGTGCATTGCACATCCCTACCAATGGGAACCCACGTCTCCAAGCAGCAGTCAGATCTCCCCCTTCCAGACCCATGCCTACCTCTCCTGGTCCTTGATGTGTGACAGGGAACCTCCCCAGTGCCCCTCTCCTTGCGGGGGGACAGCACGTACCTCTCATGGAACCGCTGGCTGACCAGGGGGGGATGCTGTTCCGTTTCTGATAAAACAGGATGTAAGCCCCTCGCGTACTGACCTCATCTTCCGGGAGCGGTTCCACTGTGCTGTCATCAAAACTGTACCACTGGCCGTCCAGAGAGTTCCGGCAGTAGGCTGCAAAAGTCCAAAACCCCCGTGCCAGTTATTGGAGCCCCTTCAAAACAGAAAGGCATTTCTCGCCAGCACAGCTGAAAAACGGACGTGTTTGTAACAGAGTGGGAAAGATCGGTCCGTTTCGGGCCAGAAGTGAGTTCTGTGGAATCAGAAAGATCAATCAGTTACACACCCAGCTGCTCACCGATAAAAAGCGTGCCGTTACTTTGAGTTTGAATCCTTACGTTAGAACCCCTGCTCGGGCAAAAGCTCCGGTAACAGGGAGCCCCGAATTATTTAGCCAGACGATAATGTCCCCATTCGCCCTGCTCCTTGAGAAGTTTCGAGATGCACATCTCTGATTCAGTATGCCACTGAAAACAATGCTTTTGGGATTATGGTATGCTTCTTTCCTGCCTAAGAACTAAAGCAAAACATTTAGGAAAATGTTCATAAAATTCTTACTACCTTTGAAACAATTGTGACAAAACATTCTTTTCCTTTCCCTCCACATCTCAGTGAAAGGTACCATCACCCAAGAATACAGGGTCAGCCCACTTTTCTGTAATGAGCCACATAGCAAATAGCTTAGGCTTTACAGATCACATATGGCCAGTCTCTGCGTGCATATATATATATGTATGTATACACACATATGTAATATATATATACACACACATATATATATGCACATGTATATATATATACACACGTATATACACATATATATATTTTACCCTACTTACTTTGAAATGTAAAAATCATATTTTATATATATTTTTATACATACATATATAATATAGAGAGAGAAAGAGCAGAGCATTATATATATATATAATATATATATATAGCTTAGGGCTCTCATTAAGATCTACATATGGTCAGCCTCCTGCATTTTAGTATATATATATACAATATTACATAATATATATACAATAATAGTCAATGCAGATATATATATAGAGATAATAACACAATAACGATATATATACATACAATAACGGAATATACACACATATATATATTTTACCACTTTGAAAATGTAAAACATCATTATCTTTACATTTCCTTTATATACACATTATATGGTTTGATATTATTGATGTGCACACATATATACTATTATTGGATATGTGTGTGGGGTAAGTGTAAAATATACATATACATATATATATACACAGGGGAATTTAGGCCTTTACAGATCCACAATGGCCAGTCCTCATGCTGCTAATATATTATTAAGTTACATATTGGTCAACAACACACATATACATAATATTGGGATATTATCACCACTGAACGCAAGATATACATACATACACACACATATATTATTCACACTCCCTCAGAAATGTAAAAAAACTCATATCTTTATATTGGATTTTCTTTATTATTATTACAAAACATATAATATGGTGGGATGCAAAGCCATTACATAGAATAATTGGATGTTATATTATTTTAGATAGTAGGTATATTTTATATATGATATTTCCACATATTGATACATAGATCATACATATGCAAATACATATATATTTAGGCCTTTACAGATCAAGACATGGTCAATAAGTCACAAAAAAAGGGGCCATGATACATGGTTAGATATACATACACAAATAACACAATGTCAAATATTACATAATAACATATTATTATTATCACCTCAGTGTACATGCAGTTATATACATAGCATGTACATCAACAACAGATATTGGTTGTTATTGGCTGTCATCAACAATAACAACGTGATATATGATTAATAAATACAATATTATTGATATATGTCATCACTATTACATATATTTTACCATTCCTTTGAAAAGGGAAAAAACCATATTCTTTTATGATATATATTTTTGTGAAGTTATTATTAAGATAGTCAATATACATACATGTAAAATACACATATTATATTATATATTACGTGCGTGTGTGTATATATATATATGTATAGTTTCAGGGCTTCCAGATCTGGCCACAAATGGCCAGTCTCAAGCAAGCAGGTGCAGTATTAAGGTTATATATTATGCTGGAAGATACATATACATCATCAATACACACATTACATAACATATACACACAATAACGATATATACAATAATATACATATTTCCACCACCTTCCTTGAAATGCAGCAACCATATTTTATATATAGAGTTTTACATATATACACATATATAATATAAAGTAAAAGAAGCACATGCAACATATATATATAATATATATGTGTGTGTGTGTGTATATATATATAGCTTAGGCTTTACAGAGATCATTATTATGGTTGCCCTGCATATATATATATATATACACACATATGATATATATACACACACACATATATATATACACACATATTTTACCACTTTTTGAAATGTAAAAATCATATTTTAACTCGCAGGCTATGCAAAATCAGGTACTGGACTGGATTTGGCCGGCGGGCCATCATTAGCTGAGCCCTGCACCAACCCAAACCAGGCACCTAGGGGCTCATCTTTGCCCTCCCCTTCCCTTCCACCCCACACCCAGTCCAAAAGCCAATCTTGCTGATTCGACTTCCAAAATGCATCTCGAATACCCCAACTGTCACCTCCTGAGTCCCCCGAGTCCCGGCCAACACCATCTCTGATTTGAGCCCCAGAAATTCCTAAGCGGAACTCCCAACTTCTACTCCACCTGTTTTCCACAGAGCAGAGCTACACCCTCAATTTGCGAACTAGATTATGTCTTTATTATTCTTTTGCCTAAAACCTTGTAATGGCTTCCCGTTACGCTTTGGAAAAAATGCAAACTCTCGTCCACGGCCTACACGTAGTGCCCACCTCTCCAGCCTCATTTGTGTTACTTACCCCTGGGTCGCTACACTTCAGCCATGATGGGCTTTCATCAGTTCTTAAACACACCAAACTCTGCCTCAGGGCCTTTGCCCATGCTAGTAGCCCATAATGGTCTTCCTCCCATTAGCCCATTATTCACACAGCTCATTCCTTTAGCTCTTGGAGAGCAGGCGCTATCCTCAGAGGGGCCTCACCTCTATCACAGAAACAATCAATCAAACCCTTTCGTAATGCCAGGCATTGAATGCCTGTTTACTGGCTGTGTCTGAAGTTTAACTTAAGAAAGAATGAGTGATGGTCCCAGATTTTCCACCCAGCCCGGTGCTTTCCAAATCGAAGGTACCTTGGAACCTTAGAAACAGTGCACCTCCCAAGAAGGAAAATGAAACATCGTAAAGCGTCTTCTCCCGTGACACAGTCTGTTGTTCTCGGATAGCACAGGCCATGGTGCCTGATCATGAACTAGTCACCCAGCCGTCTGTCTCTGTCTTTGCTGCTGTCCACCCCTCTCAAGCTCCTCTGAGGGAGGGCAGTTAAACGTACGCCCCAGAAATAAAAAACACCAGACCTGATAAATAAGACGCCGTGTGTTGAACCACAGACGAGGATAAACGCGCCTCTCTCGGGTTCCCGGTGACCCTCCTATACTTGCTGGGGCCAAACGCTCAGGCTGCAGCTAAGCTGATGTTCCAACCACCATCCCAACTCAACGTTACAGCTTGGACCCGGTCCCCTGCTCTCTGGCAGGTGCCTGATGTGCGGCGGCCGAGGGGTCTGCGTATGCCCAGTGCCGGAGTAAGCTCGGCCTCGCGGGGGCACCTCTTCCCGGGGCATCCTGGAGCTCGGGCCGCAGTCACGGACACGTGACCACGGCCGCCACGAACCGGGAGGCGAGGCTCACCTGTGTAATGCCCACCTTGCAGACCGCCGTGGTGGTTGCAGACGGCATACAAGTCGTACAGGAAGTCCCACGGGCAGCTGGCGGGCAGGCAGGCCGGCTGCTCCCAGGAAGGCCAGGGGCCTGTCGCGGGCTTGGGGCCCGCGTTTCTCTGGGCCACGTGGGGGGCCATGTTGAGGCCGGAGAGCGGAAACTTCACCAGCGTGGACAGCTTGTTTCTCCTCTCGCCCACCTGACAGAACCTTTTCAGGTGGATGATGAGGATGTCAGGCAGGGTCCAGAGACTCAGCTTCACCGTGCCCTGCTGGAGGGCCTTGCAGTGTGGACACTTCCACGCATCGTCCTGAGCCAGCTGGAAAGGAAACCACCGGGACCGTGAGGCAGCCCGCTCCGCCGCACCGCGGCCACCCGCCCCCTTCGCAGCCCCGGGCGTGCACCCTCCCTCCGGGAGACACCTGCTCCTCCTTGGTGTAGAACTGAAAGCACTCGTCCAGGGTGCAGCTGGGTTGCTGGTGCGCCTCCTGCTGCCGCCACACGCTCTCCGCGTCCTGAACCCGCTCCTCCTGGGGGCTCCCGAACAGGCTGCCGGGAGAGGAAGCCGACGGCATTGGGGCTTCTCACCTGTCGCTACTCACGGCACCCACCAGGGGAGGCCAAGCCGCCCCAGCTGGCGCTCACTCTCTTTGACGAGAATTCCCGGGGTCTCCCCTACCAGCTCCAGCTGGTAGCCAGCTCCACAACCGATCTCACGGTTTGTGAGTTCGAGCCCCGCGTTGGGCTCTGTGCTGACAGCTCGGAGCCTGGAGCCTGATTCGGATTCTGCGTCTCCCTCTCTCTCTGCCCCTCCCCACTCACGCTCTGTCTCTCTCTCTCTGTCTCTCTCTCAAAAGTAAATAAACATTAACAAAATAAAAAACTAAAATAAAAAATAAAAAAATTTCTAAAAAAACAAACAAAAAATACATGTCCTAGAAGCTGCTGGTTGCCCCACAATTTTTGTTTTCCTCTCTTTCCTCAATAAAAAAGTGATGTATGAACCTTCTGGTAAGTGCCCTTTAAGA